ACCACTAAACCACTGGCGCTTCTTAGTGATAGATACCTGAATAATTGAAATTCTGAGCCTATAGTATGCACGCAAGATTGTAATTACAGCAACAAGCCTGATACACTCCGGGCATTGCCAGCGACACTCGAAGATTGCCCCAGTTATAGCCAGCAACTATGAAGTGTGTGCAGATCATTTCCAAAACCTTTCCCTCAAGGTTCAAGATTGACCAGCGCAAGGAAACTCTCGTACATTTGTGTCGTCCAAAAGCAAATGATACCTACATAGTACCCAAGGTCTGCAGCTTGGAAAAAGAAACATGATTCTGGCTCAATCCTTCCAATCTTGCCGGAATAAAATACCAGAAACCTTCGACAGAGATGACACAGAAAGCGAAGGAGACATCGAAGTTGGGGCGTCATTGCGGCTACCTAGAGGTAGGCACTCTAAGTGACTGCCCATCATCTGTCACGGTAGCTCGAGCAGAACTTGGGTATCACTGCCCACTGAACATCCGGATAGTTTGACGGCGACGAATGCGAGTCTACAGTAAGGTAGAGGGTAGGATATGGTCGGTAATACTTTGTGGGGGAACAGGAGTTGTCATGGTAAGTGCCGGACTCAGGGAGAGGAGTTCATACTCGGAGGCTACGAGACCACTGCATCTCCACACTAGGTATGTATGCATCACTGGTGGTAATGGACGCCGTTGATTCAACTGACTGGCGATGAGTGGCTGTTTTGTGGAGGGACTCGAGTTTGTGTGTGATCTGCGGAGTTGAAATCTGTGAAGACTGAGAAACGCTTGTCTCGTTGTGGAAATTTATTCCAATGGACTGCTTAGAAGTGCGCGTCAATGAGTGATGATATCTGGCAATTACAGCTTCTCATCTGTGAGATAGGTAGTTCTCTTTCTCAGTAGATTTTCATGGGAAGCTTTCCAATATGGGGAATGGTGGTTTGCGAACAATGAAGCCCATCAATCTACCACAGATCCATCACCAGACCGTGAAAGTAAAAACTGATCATCATTAATAGCGTGTGGCCTCGTAGAAGGTAGCGTCATATTATTCAGCCAGCAACTAACCACGGCTAATCTCTCCAATGGTCACCTATCATCGAAGATGTTATGTCGCTGTCGTCCTGCTCCTATAGTCGAGTGAGTAAGTATCCAATATCTGATGTTTGTTGATCCGATTCTGTAAATGGTTTCTCTTTCTTCCTCCCAATGTTTGCCGATCATGATATGCTTCCTCCCCGCAGTAGGCATTTAGTAAAGCTTGGTACGCCCAGATCTGAACTTCGAACGGTTCTGTCGTGCTTCCTTCCTCCGAAATACTAAAGTGGCATGGAGGTAGGTACCTCTAGAAATATCCGAGAGAGGAGGATGTGAGGAGGTTAGGCAGACTGCAAACTGCTAACACATCCCGCCCGACCATTGCGATATTTGCCGACACGTGGTTTTTGACATGCAGACTGGGACACTTCATTCTACCGATTGGACGACAATGATGAAGGCTCTGTGGCTGCTATGTGCAGAACTATCTGAAAAACTCAACGGTTGATCATGTGAGATGCTTTCAGTTACTAGCACCAGGGTTGTTGGCGTTGAAGATAGATGATGGCTGCCAGAGACCCGAAGTCCATCTGAGTATAGTGGTCTGCGACCGGGTTTTTCCAACTTCCACTAGGCCTGACAGCCTAACGCTTGCACAGCAGACTCTGAGCGCGATGAGTATATTCCAGCAGGACCATGATCAGTCCAGGCAAAACGAAGCAAAGAAAAGCAGCCACAGCGGATACTAGATGGATAACGGTAACA